CTAGATTCTTCCACCCGAGCTGATGATGTTTGCAGCTCCCCTACAGTAACTTCTTTGATTATTGCTGATTAATGCTGTCACTGATCAATCTGTGTGTTTAGGTGGACAGCCATGTTTTTTTAGCTTGTTATCATACTGTTATTCGTAATGGATTACAAAGAATTCCATGTTGTTTAATACCTACCTGTGTGCTTTTCAATCCCAAAATACTTTATCTTGGTCACTAAATATTCAAATAAAATGCAACGGCCAGATGTGGAAAAGATCAGTGTGTGAATGAGGCTATAAGTTTAAACATATAGAAGAAAGTCAGATAACCATGAAAAAATGTAGTTTTCTTAATCACCAAAATCTTCTAAAGTTCTAAAGTATTATGGTTCAGAGTGATTAAATTGATCTAGAATTCCGACCTTCCCAGCATCCCTGGAATATCTGGATTTAATATGAACCTACTTTATCTCTTCCTTCAAGTATATTATCCATTACATTTAAAGGTTGTGTCCTGGTTGAATCATCAGGCCATTAGTGTGAGCGCCTCTGTAATAAACTGTTGACATGCCTAGTTTATCTTCTTGCTCAGTGATCAAACTGTAAATATCTTGATTTCTATGCTACATGGAACTGCTTAAACCTTGGCCAGCCCATCACATTTACTCCTACCATGGATGAGCGAATCAACAGCTCATCCAGAGATCTCAAAAAACCCAGATCATTTATAGCTCTGCATGGCTTAAGGTCAGAGTTTAAGGTTCAATAAAAAGAAAAAGGGACTGGGCTAAGTTGTATCTGTGCGGGAGCACCAATACTAAATATATTTAGTAAAGGATAGAAGACCCCAGGGCTTTTACTGAAACATATTTTCAGCATGGATATTTTCAGCTGTAATGGAATAAGACTGTCCCAATACAGCTGGCGTGAAAATAATAGCATTTCATAAAAAGACCTATCAGAACTCAGAACAGAGGGACCTAGAATTCAGGCAAGACAGACAGTTCATTTAAAGACAGGCTGTGGATCTGTGGTATAAACGAATAGGGCATCTATAACAGGAACGTCTATTGGAGAGAAAAACAGGTTAGCAACCACGATAATATGATGGAGGATGATTATGAACGCATAAGTCACTAACCTGGTTTTACAGTTCAGTCCATGCCCAGAGAACGAGGATGATTCCAGCCAATCGGCTGACGAGACGCAGCAGACGCTTCCAGAGTGTTCCAGATGTGGAAGCCTAAAAGGCTGCAGTGCTGACAGGAGTTCAGACCCGAGCCGACGAAGGAAGGCAGGATAATCCACAGGGCGAAGTCAAGAGGTAGATCCAGAATCCAACAGGATTTCAAAGACAGGCCAGGAAAAAAGATCAGACTGGGGCAGGCAGGCTCAACGGTCCAAATACAGAAACCGATCGGGATTAGGTAATCAGAACACTGTAGAAACGCTATGGAACTCTCAACACCAAAGGCTCAAAAATAATCTGGCACTGATGGCTTGAAACAGGCAGCATAAGTAGGGGCTGGAACAGGTGGATCAGATGAGCAGTGATGAGAAAACAGGGCAAAGCTAGACAAGTGAATGTGATGAGCAATCAAGCCAGCCATCAGTGCCAAAATCATGACAAGAACAAATTATAAGGTAACTCAAAGAGCTGTGCCAATCCTGTGCAAAGTACAGGGAAACAGTTTATTGAAAATAGAAAAATTCAGCTATAAACCAAACATCTGGGTTACACAGTGGTGGAGGTGGTAGCACCGGTGCCTTGCAACTAGAAGGTTGTAGGTTCAAATTCCTGCTTGGATGGGTGCAACAGAACATGTAAAAAATACATAAATGCCCTGCCATCATTTTAAGACACTAAAAGAAGCTCACTTAGGTCATGTAGCATAACAATCGTCCATATCCTTCCAGCTAGCCCACCACAGGAATCAGATATAAAGAAAAGTTAGTGCCCAGTTAAGGGCTTACATTTAATCAACATGCTAAGTTGCATGTCCTTGACTCCCGCAGATGTGGCTGAATTATATCAATTCTAGAAAGAAGACTTGGCTCAGATGTCTCCACTGTCAGGTATCGCATATGTTTTTGGCAGTTTTTGCCGCCAGGGAATTGCACAACCAGTTACCAGCTCTTTCCCTAATAACGAATGCAAATCTCTTGAATACAATGTTTTTATATTTAAACTGGTTCTCTGTTTTTCACGTTAATAAAAAAAAAAAAAACATACATTTTCTTTGTAAAAAAAACAAAGAAAATGTATTTATTCTTTGGGGGGGAAATATTTTTTTTCAGTGCATTGTACAGTTTAACTCCGACCAACGCCCCACTTTAAGTTAAAATATCTCCACTATGTTGATATCAGTTTGGAAAAAGTTGAGATAAATTATATTAACTAACTGCTAAATAAGATTAAAACAAATGAATTATACTTTATTACTTTTTATTAATCTATCTGAGACAATAAAATTGAAATGTCTGTAAACAACCAAATACTTATGAATTAATATTACTGTGAATACTGAGCAGCTCCAATTATCAACATGCTATTCGTATAATGTAAAAAAACAAAACAAAAAAAAAACAATAATTATGTAATGACTGAATTACTAGATATACGAATGTATTTTCCTCCCTAATCTTGTCAAATGAATTAATTAATTAGAAGCTGCTTGTTTGCAAAACTGTCACTGGCTTCAATTTACAGTACTCTAAATGGAAAAAAGGCAGTGAAGTACTATTTTTATAATTTATAAACTCTTTCATCCTAAAATATGCTTCTGGACAAACGATTGCTCCTCCATGGTGCTTAGTTTACAAGGAGGGAGGTATTTACCAAATGCAATCATCTTTTAGCATCTGTATGTTTCCATTCGTTTTCTCATGCTCACCAGTCATGACTAGAGATCAGGAGTTGAGGGAGGAAGAATAAACTCCATTCATCCCAGTCAGTCCACTCTCCCCACTCACAGCAGCCCAGGTCAGAGTCCATCCTCCTGCACAAAACTTCCAGAAAACAAAACGCTCCAGTCAACTGGCCACACAGAAAACCAATTCTACTTCAATCTAAACTTTTCCTGTTTTTTTTTTTTTTTCTGCAGACAATGTGGTTGCAGGGCCAATTCAACTCGAACCTTAAATCAATTTTCAATCAGAGAGCTTCTGAGCAATAATGAACACCAACTTTATGGTTTGATGTGAAGCATGATTAAATAAAAAAAAGAAAAATAAAAAGCCTGGTTTTTATATTGTTTTCTATTGTTGGCACTAGTTTCCCGGAGTAGCTACATTATAAAAGTAAGGGGAGGAATTGTGGAAAGAATCGTCTGAACTATTAAATAGTATTTTCAACAGACAAAGAGATTTGAAGCGAGGTGTTAGGAAAGTGAGAGCTTTTTACAAATGTACCAATCCTTAAGTTCTGTATAAAAAAAGATTGCAGATGACTAGTCCCTCTGCAACTTCAAGTTATATCTAGAGAAAATTGTAAACTCACTGAAGAAGACCCTCCTCCTGTCATGCTTCCTTACTTTTCTGTAAGCTCACAAGGAGATATTCTGATCAAAAGAATGTTGTTCTCTTAAAAAAAAAAAGGTGGACAATCGCTCTTTAATCAGTAACTCAGTAAGCTTTCACTTACTGTAATATATATATATATATATATATATATATATATATATATATATATATATATATATATATATATATATATATATATAAAAAGAGAATAAAGAGTCTAAATAATCTAGACTATAAGTAATAATAATGAGGAAACAAGTGTGAGCAATATGTGCAATTTCTTATATTGAGCAATAATTCTCATTTATAGCTAAAAAGTGAATTCAAAATATTCAGTCTATAATTTTTTTAATCAGCATCATATTTATAACAATATAATCATTTTATAACTTTATTGCACCCTTCTGAACAACTCTCAATGTTATGTTTGCTTTACTTTTACCAAGAAAATCGTGTTAACATTTCCTGCCAGCGTTCCACCATCAAAGTTTCTATCTGAGATTTAAAGTAAAACAGATTTAGAAAATAATTATTCATTTTATTTTATTGATGAGTTTAATATATTCTTTGGATAATATTTTGTAGTTCTTGGCTGTACGTTAACTTTATGTAAAACTGATGTTATTGCACTCTAAGTGTATTTAGTACTATTTCTATTGTTTTTTTAACTGTTTGCTGTAGTAACCCTTTTTGTCTTACTAGGCGGATAAAGACGGAGAGTCCAGAGCTTCTCAGCAGAGCCGCAGGTTTACCGCCTCCATGTGACACAGCATTAATGCAGTAATCCATTCAAAAGGACACCCAACCAAGTATTCAGTGGGTGTCCTACACAGTACATAGACATATGTCTGTAAGAAACCATTGTTTTTCAAAAATTCTTGTTAACTTATATAAAACAAAGAAAAGTAGTTTGGGGTTTTATTTGCTATGAGACGGAATCATCACAGTTAACTAGAATAAACGCTTGGAATAAATAAAAATGTATGTAATGAATATATTGGCTCTTTTTAGTTTGGTTACCGTGATTAAGTAACCTTTGACTATTTCATATTGCTGTGATGTGGATTTATAACATTTAAAACTTTCATGCTAATTCTGTAAAGGAGGTGATCCCATTTATTAAACTTTAACAATAAACAAAGAAGCACAACATCACTAATATTAAATTTATATCAACGGGTAACTAAATAAATACTCTAGTGAGATTTAGTATCATTGTTTCTAATAAAAGCTAAAGCACCATGCAAAAGTTTTTAAACTTACCATCTTTCTCTTGCATCTTTTATTTGTCTCTAATCCAGGATCTGTTTCACCCATAGAAACAACATTCAGTTTTATCTTTAATCACGGTTTGTTTACAGCTGAGGAAATACTAAAAGAAAAAAAAAACAGCAACTCTTGTTTCTTATCAACGAAAAACTTTTATTTAAGTCATCGTTTTTTTTTTTGTTTTTTTTTTTGTTTTTTTAAATATTAAATATTCGTTTGCCAAAAGTGCGTTCAGAGGTGATGTTGCACAGGGCAGCAGGCAGGGGGCAGCAAAGGGAAGTGTTCACTACTGAGGAAGACAGAAATGATTGATGGAAATAATCTCAGAGCCAAAACTGCTCTCAGGCTTCAATGTTTCAGAAAGAGGTGTTTTCATTTGAACTGTAATTTTATAAATATATCAACATCTTTTAATCACAAAGTTTGATTTAAACAAATATTCATATCATTTTTTTCTCATTACAACATTCAAAAGTTGTTGGTGCCGAAGTATGGAGCCACAAAGTGCCACAATTTCGTAAACAACTTTTTAAAATGAGTTTATTGTATATCATTGTTTGATTAAAAATTTCACAATTTCAACAGTCACATTTATTAATTAAATCATTAATGTGTCCTTTCAGTGATTTGTCTAAACTTTGCAGGGTTTCTTTCACCCTTCATCACCTTGACTTATTTTCCCCTCCCACTGATTCTTACTAGATAATTCCTGAAGCATAAACACTATAAACATAATACTATTTAAGTAGTAAAATATATTTTTTGTAATAAAAAATAATTTTAATGACATAAGCATTACCACTTTTGAATGATCCTTAATGAAATTGAGGAGAAAACATCCACTTTTGTCTCTCTTACAGACGTGGATAGTGAGTTAATGTTGCTATAGTTTAACAGGATTGGTCCAAAGTTACCATGCTGTATATGTTAACTAATCACACGTTAGAGTCTATGTTATGAACCACAATGACTGTTTGAATTGTTTCATAATGGACTGAAGCACACACAAAAAAAAATTCAACAAACAGAAAAAAATATCATTGTAACAAATCAATGATTTTTAACTATAAGATTTAATTCTAATTGTATATTATATAAAGCATTTAATTTTGGCAGGTAATTAATTCAACAACTTTATTTTCTGGATTGTGGCACTTAAGGGCCAACATACAGAGGACCCAGCCTTTCATCTTTTACAATTGTCTTGATCAGCAGATCCTCTGAGGTTCTTCTTTGGATTTTGTTTATTCTCTTAGACACACAAACAGGCATTCAGTTTTTAATGGCAAAAGAAACAAGATTTCCAGAAAAGGCAACATGTAAACATCCACACTCGCCATCGTAAATGTCCTCATTGAGACAAACAAAGGCGCGAACACACGTGGACGCTCGGTCGATAAAGTGCAGATGTTGGAGTGTAGCTCAATGTGAGGAAGAACATGGAGTGATTTCACCTTGATAGGGAAACTAAACAACATCTGAAGTTAAAACGGAAGAATGCTGATAGATTTGAAGGTTAGAATTATAAGTTTAAGGCAAAAACTATCCCAGAAGAAGATTTTTTAAGGGATTTTAAAGTTATTCACTTGATTTTTATATATGTGAGAAAATATGGAAGTGATTCATGACAAAAAAAAAGCAAAACTAAAAACTCACTCACTTTCGCTCACAGCACCTAAAGCCAGATGTGCTGGGTTCACAGTTCACAGCAAATTCCTTCCTCTTCTCTCTCAATTCTACCTCAAGCTAAAAGGCAATTAAGGTGAATGAAAACATAATAAAATAAAATAGAGAAAAAAAATCTCATGATATCCCACCCAAAACATATTTTAAAAAATCAAAGTGGGGCTGATAATACAAAGGAAAGTCAACAAAAAAAAAACAAAGCAGCTATGGCAACAAGAGAGGCACAAAAATAAAGGTGTGATGGTGATAAAAAAAAAAGCAGTCAGCTAGAACAGCCTCCAACATAAAGGCCCTTCCCCCTCTTTCCAGAACAATCAGCCGGCAGCCCCCTCTTCACACGATGGAACCGCTGTGAGTCCATCAGTCCATTTTTAGCTGTGCAACAAAGACCACTGCTGCACGGCACATGCAGGCCTGCGAACCGATCTGCTGCCATCTATTGACAGCTGCTGAAATCCTCTGCTGTTGCAGATTTGATCGTCGGAGTGCATTTCTGTGCTCAACAGATTCACGAGTGCAATTCAGGCACAGCTGGAACTTGACTGTACCTTTTCAAGTAATTTTTCCCCTAAAGTTGGCTCAAAATGTGTGGTTGTGAAAATAGTAAAATGCAGCACAGGTGGAAACGCAAGTCAATGTACAACAAACATCAATCATGTCAATTTTAAAAAGTAGAGGATAACGGCACAATAAATAAAAAAGAATGTAAACAAAGTCTACTTTGAAGAGAGTCAGAGGTGTGCGGCGTGTCATCTGGGAGGCGGAGCTGCTTCTATGTTCAGGGCCCTGATTGGAGGCATGAGGGAGTGAAGGTGTAACGAAGAGGTGATTTCCTGCTACTCCACCTTAACCCCCAACTTCTCTGTGTTTAGTAGGTAAAGGCTGTCATCTATCAGGAAACTGGAAGCACAAAGAAAGCAGTCAGTCTGGATCAGGTAATAGATGGTTTGTTTTGGCTTTGAAGTCACATTTTCAAAAACTCAAGATGCAAATCAATAAAAATTATTGGATATTGGCTTTATATCTTTGTAAGAAACTTATAATTAGACCTTTTTTTAACCAACAATGAACACATTATATTCTTTTTTTATGAGGCAGTTGAGGGAGCTTTTTTAATGGAATCTGCATTTTCTACATGATAGGATTTATTTACTGAACTCTAAAATGCATTCCATGATGGTTTTTTCTTCTCACAAATTAAAAATGACCCTTAATCATACCCATGTATAAGAATAGAAACATACAAGCAGCACTAACCTGTAGAAAAGGAAGTGAACCGGGATGGTGCTGAGGTGCCACACAGCATGCGCATCAAAGACCCACAGCCACGGAGGAAAGTCCAGCAGCTCCAGCAGGGCCAGGCCGTGAAGCAGCAGCACCACCAAGCCGCACTTCCACCAGTATGGGAGAGTCCGTCTGTTCTGCCAGCACCAACACAACCACCACAGGAGGTTCACCATGCCTTCAGAGACAGCAAAAATATTAACGCTTTGAAGGTATTGTTAGATTTCATGTAAAAAAAATGTCAGATATAAGGAGTAGGGAGAAAAATTAAAAAGCTGCAGCATTTCACCACAGTGTCTCTATCTGTCCTTACATTACACCCACAAACTTCAATATATTTGATCCAGATTTTATGTGAATGACCAACAGAATGAAGAGCATAAATGCAAACGGAAAGAAAAAGGAGTTGTTTCAGATAACGGATTACCTTCTGGTCAAAAGATGCCGACAACAGCAGCTCTACATCCAACATAATTGGGGATTTAGGAAAGAAGACAGGGAAACGAGTCTAGTCAGTGGATGTGAAAACTGGTGGAAACAAATAGCGTAAGACAAAAGATGGGTCTACTAACTGAATATGCACCCCACACCAGGTGTTTGACATTAAAGCCACACATCATTGCCCTTCAAATGATGAACTTCATGTTGGTCAATCACATAAAATATCAATAGAATGTCTTGGAGTCTGTGGTTGTAAAGAGAAAAACTGAAAAAAAAAGTCGGAGGAGGCTTTTTGTTCACAGAGTGTTTGGGGTACCGATGGTTGCGTTGGCTGCCATGTTGTAGCCGTAGTCAAAACTGACAAAAGTCAGGTAGGAGACGTGAGATGTAAAGGCCAGGATGAGCAGAACCCCCACCATGCTGGACACACCCGGACGCCTCAGACCCAGAGTTCTGGAAGGAGTAAGATTTTGCAAAGTGAGTAGATATACTAAAATAATAGAGATGATATTAATCACACATATAGAAATAGTTAAAATCTAAACATCCGATGCATTGTAATAGTAAATGATGTGTCTTTGGCTTGAGAAGGACAGTGGGGGGATCAGGGAGGATCGGTAGAATCCTTTAAATGTCTGTTATATGCTGTCAGTTTCACCATAAGTTAACATTAGGACTTTATAATAACTTTAAGAGTCCAGATTTGCATTTTAAAAGATTTTCAGGCTCCTTTATGCTGGGTTAATGATATTTACACTAATTTAGAGTTTCTCAATCTACTTTCCAACAACAGTCTGCCAACAGATGATAAACATCGGTAGGAAATCCAGACTTTCCAATCTTACCTGACGCAGCACAGGTAGATTGAGTAAAGAATCACTGCTGTTGCACCGAAATAGTCCATTTTCTGAAAAATAAGAAATTTACATTATTATTTTCTTTTTTTTGCAACATCACAACTACTGCACTGCAGAAAACAAACTTGAAAGACCTCAGTGTATTAGTCTCAGTGGGGTGAGAGCATCATACTCTTATGATCCACAGATGTTATGCATGCTCAGATCCCAGGATCACCTTTATTTAACCCTCATGTGAGTGGGCAAACATTACCTCTGTGAGATATGTGTCACGGGTGTGAAACACTGTAGACCAGAACCAGGCATTAAGAGATACCTGGTCAAACACACAGAGAGGTTGAGAAATGTTGGTCATTTGCTATTTATGATGACTTTGAGTGTGTTTTTCTCTCCCTTGAACTCACCAGAGAGAAGGCGTTGATGGTGTGGTACATGGGGCTCTGGCGGGGCACCGTACTCCGGTATCGCAGCATCATGAACAGGCAGGCCAAGCCGTTCAGCAGAGACGCCAGCGCGGATGCAGGCTCCTCAAAGCATAAGAAGCGCACAAATGGCCACTGGAAGAAGCAAATATCAATGGAAATGTTCAATTCTAATTTCCTATCTCTAATTGTAGAAACGATGATCCGGTGGGGTGTTGTGGCAAACCTTGCCGTGGAACTGTGGGACTCTGTAACCCTCAGCCTGGTAAAGGCCAACAGTGGTCCACATGCACTGATATTTACAGTCATCCCGGCATGTCCAACCTTAGATACAGAAAAAAATGGGGGAAAGTAGTTGAACTCTGTTAATTCCAACAAACAGACTTAGAAAACCACCAAGCTAGATCAGGGTAAGGTGAGTAGACAGCTTAAATAATTAACTAGTTAATGTAACCCAGTTAGACTAGTGCTGCTTTATTAAGGGAGCACCTGAAAGCAACATTAAACATATTTACAAATAAAATGACAATCCCTATAATAAAATAAATGTAATATTTCAGGAGTAGTATGAATGAATTCCAATTATTTGGACAAAAAATGAAAAAAAAAAAAAACACATTTAAAATCTGCTTGGGGAGCCAATAGGAGTTATGTTTTCTTTTTATTACCATTATCAAGGGGGATGATTAGGTTTGCAGGATACAAAATAGGTAAACACTCACTCAAAGAGTGTGTATGGAAAAAAAAAAAACAAGGCAGCCTACAAACCTGGCTGTAGTAATGAATAAGTTAAAAATCCAACAAACTAAAAATGCAGGTCTAACAACGACTAAGGAAATGTATGTAAATGTTATGCTTGAAAATCTGCAATAAAAATTCAAATTGTTAAATTGTTAAATAGTTCAGACATTTAGTGAAACAAATCCATAATAAATAATTTATTACAGGATGAAAGTGTTTAGTCTCATTTAATCATTCATTTTTAAAGTAAGTTTACTTTTTGAGTGTTTTAGTTTCTAGTTTCAACTGAAACTAGTCTCCTACATATAATGGGGCAGCCCTTCTTTTATATATATTCATCTTTAAACAACAGTAATAAACATAAAGTCTACTTGAAATCAAATTTTGAGATTTACTCAATTAAATTAAGGAAGACTCGACAAAGAAAGGTTAGGTGGAAACCTGTTTGAAGAAGTAAAACAGGCATTAGAAAGACTGGAATTATAAAGGGAGGCTTTTGTTACACATTTTAGACAAGAAAAACAAGTTTGTCATGTTTTATAATATTAAATTGTTACATATGTTTTGGTGGATAATAGGGAGTTTGGAAATATTTAAAGTTATAAAAGAAGCAGCATGAATAGAGAGACATTTTTTGATTAAATGTTAAAACATAGTTATAATGTAGGATGGACATGGGAAAGCTAACAGGCTAAGTTAGCTCTCACCTGCCAGCAACGGCTCACCTGTCAGCGCCATGTACTGCGGCTGGCTGGACTCAAAGCCCTGCAGCCGCGCGCCGGTGCAGTTGGTCCGGACACACAGCTTAACGCAGTCCCGGTAAACCGGCTCCTTGTCTCCCTGGGAGGACTGCACAGCTGTCACCGACATCAGCAGGAGGATGACGGCGAACGACGCGGGGAGTCTGACAGATGTGCAGCGGGGGAACGCTGAGGCCATGGCGGGTGGTTGGGGCCCGCCAGGACTCGTGAAGGCACGGGGAGGTGACGGCGGCTGAACGGAGCCAGCGGAGGACATTAATGCATCCCGCAGCCGGAGGGGACAAACCGGATAAATAGCAGGAGGATTACGGTCCACTGTTTCCCCTGTTTCGATGACCCGGGGAGCAGGTTTTACAGGCACACAACTTCCGGTTACCCCTTCACAATAAAAGTGACTATTTATGAACGGGAGTCGATTTGCTGAGTTCATTAAAAACGATAGTTTATACACAGTAGGTTTGTTCCGGGGAATAATGTGTAAAAAACAAACAAAAACATAAAAATCTTGTTATTACTTTTTTTTCCCGGAAATGAATCGTGGAGCCATAGATTGAGGTTTACTTTAGCTTTATTCTGAAGGCAGATTTGTGTCATTCTTCCATAGATGTTATGATTTTATTTAATTTTTTAATCATTATCATTTTTAAAATTTTGACTGCTCAATTGAAAACAGACATTATAACTCTTAGGTGTCAAATTTTTCCTTTTCTTTCAAAACATTTCCAGTTTATGTATTAGGTTCACACTACCAACAAATAGCTCTTAATATAAACACCTATGAATCCATTAAAGATGAAGTTCTCCTTTTAAGCTCTTCCATATCCACCTGACAGTATTTTGTCTGTGTTTTATGTAAACTGTGATACAGTGCATTATCCTGGCAATGATGAGGCTACTAATTGTAAAATCGTGTTTTATTGAAGCAGTATAATTGGACCCTGAAACCCTTAGAATAGTCTCCTCCTAAATATGAAAAATGTATTAAGTTGGGAACAAAAATCAAATTTTAAGCAGTTAGTAACATTTGACTCCCTGGCTCTTTTAGATATAAGCATTGGTGGATCAATGCCACCAGGGTGAAACTGTGCAATGACCACAATATTAAAAAGAAAGTGTAAATAGTTTGGAAAAAGGTATATTTCTCCCTTTTTGGAGTTGAAGATTTAGAAAATCTCAAATACTGTTTAAAAATGGTTTCTTTCAATAAAAAAATAAATGGTCCTACATGTCCAAGTATTTTTGGGTTTTAACAAGAGTGATTATAAAATGTAGATATTATTTATTCTTTTAAAAACAGTCAAATGACTCTTTATCGGATTAGGACTCGGCATCAATAATCATCTGCTTTGCACGGCTATTTTGTATCCCATTTAGCACAATACAGCAAATAAATCATTCAAAATCAATAACATTTTTTGCTGAAATCACTTTTATTGTTCTTTTGCCAGTTTGTAGTGCATTGGTAATACCTGAACCATCACAGAGTGTTGATATAAAATATCATAGAGGCTTATATCTGTCTTTTTTTGGCACTAAGAGTTTTAATTTCCCCAATCTAGAGAAAAAGAAAGGAAACCTTACAGGAGAAGGTCAGAACCCTGGACCTTTGCATCTATAGCTATAAGGTGTTCATGTGATTGTGAGCTCTATCACATACTGCACATAATACTAATTTGTTTGAGACAGTCTGAAAACAGCTAAAATAAATGGCAGGAAGACATGCCATCCAGGTTGTTTTTTGCTTACATCACCTTTAAGAGCTGTTTCCAAAAGGCACTCGGTTAATTTAGCTCAGGGGAATTTAATAGTGGTCCAGAAATATAAAGTTGAATGTTCTTGGGGGTTGAAAATTTCAGTTGTTTTTTTTTTTTTTTCATTAAAGCTGAAACAAAAAATACAATAAAAAATAACATTATAATCATCATCATTCTTACCTCCTTAACATTAAACTAAAACTACAATTTATTGATGAAAATCCTTCTGTAGAAAAGGGTTCTGTAAATTACAGTCATCTGGCATTTTCTCCTAGTTATATAAATATATATGTAAAAAAAAAAAAAAAAAAAAAAAAAAAAAAAAGGTTAAAATCAATTTATTTTAGATTGTTTTCTGTGTTTTATTTCAACAACAACAGCCTATGGCTCGCTTTTGCTGCTTTTTCCATGTTTAATAAATGAGTTTGACCACATTGGATTTTTGATTAAAGTAACTGATACAGGCCCTTTTTACTATTAAATAAAATAAAAGCAAAAATGTTGCCAATACAATATGAACACCTTGTGTTGCACCTTGTATTGTTTTCCATTTATGGAGAATTTCATTTGTCTGTATCATTTTTTGAAAGGTCGTTCATAAGTGAAATTTGTTCTCTGATTTCTTTTATTCTGTGTGTTTCTATTTTTTTCATTTCATTGGCTTAATTTTTCAGTCTGACCTGGTAAACCAAATTTAGCTCATTCTTAAATTATAAACGTAGGTCAACCAAAATTGTTGAAGGGCCACAAATGGCCCCAAAAGCCTTAGTTTTGACACCCTTTTTTATTTTTTTATTCTATAATTTCTTTAGAAAATTCAGTTGCAGCCACATTTGTCTGACTGTTTATGCCAAATCATCAATTTATGATTAAGGGTCCAACATGGCTGTAGACTTTCCATGAACACCTTCTGAGAGTCAAAAGGTTCTTCAGATTCAGATGCTGGTTACTTAAATGAGGAAGCAGCTACCGACAATGTTCTGCTATCCAATGGTCTTCCTCTGCTCTATTTTTAATGAACAGACTACTAGCTGGGTGTGAATTGAAATAGCAGTTCATTGATTTCACATTTGCAGAATTTACATATGCAAAAGCTCTTACACAAAAAGTGCATGTGTGTTGGGTTTAAAATTTGCAAACTCTACTGTAAACATGCAAAGCCACCTTGGACAACCAAAGTCGAAACTTTAAGTATCTTGTGTCATGAACAGCATGTAATGAATGCTGCTCCTCTGCGGACCAAGACATTAAACCTTTCATTTGATTGATTTATAGCTGTCAGGTTTTTTTATTGGTTCACTTGTGCTCACTTAGAAGGAAAGAACTCGAGCCATGAAGCTGATCTGAAAGAAGCTCAGCATCTCACAGTCACATGTTTAACTTCCCACATTGAGAAATTGTCTGAAAAGGGCAAAGTTTGGTAAAAAAGATTTTCATTTTGATCCCCATCGTGACACTTGCAATATGAGTGCTCTAAACAAACATTCACCCACAAAAACCAGCAGACTGTGTCGTACGAAAGACAGTCGGTTTTATTTGTACTTCTTTCTTTGTTACAGTGGATACAGAGACACAATTATAGCAACTGGAGCAAAACAGTGAGAGGAGCAGACGAAGAGTCAAAAACAAAGACCCCTTTCTTTTTCTCTTTTGTTTATCACTTGTCTTCCCCTCAAACTCACCATCTTTCCCCATCTCGTTCTCTCGCGATTAAACACTTTCCTTCTTTTTACTGCAGCTCCTCATTTCATTTCCTTTAGCAAAAGGGCGGAGTAGGCAAGCTATTGTAGTGCACTACTTCCTACCTTTTACCCTCTCGCTGTGATAAAGGGGAGGAAGCCATTAGGCATTCTGTGTGAGGTTGAGACTAACAGACCCGACCGGGTCAGACCGCTTGCTTGTTTCAAGCAAGTGGCCGTGCAGGCACCAAAGCACCCAGAAGACGTTCTGATCAACCGCTTTATACACTGTGGACGTAGGTCTGATGAAAGCACTGATAGCCTCAACGTAAAAAATCAGAATGAGTAATGGAGGAAGGAGAAAAGAGGAGGAAAAAAAGGCAGGGACAGAGATAGGGAGAGAGTTTTATTGTAATACGGTTATTTTTATTGTAAATAATTCCTATTGATTACAAACTACCCCTATATACATCCCTCCCCCCCGTCCTCTCACTCAGCGTCTCGGCAAAGAAGAGAAGTCTTTTTGTGAGCAGAAAGGTTGGAATTGGGCGTGAGGGTTTGCAAAGGGAAGTTGTGGCGTTGTGGCAGATGGAGCGAGTGGATGGCGGCATAGATATGAGTGTTAATAGAGGTAGAGAAGAGGGGATCTACTCCTCCTTGTCCTCTCCGTGTGTGATGACGTAGCAGATGTTCTTGTAGTCCACGTTGCCAGCCACATCAGGGGGGAAGGCAGCCCACAGGTTGGTCATCTGAGGGAGAGGAGATCACAGAGAAAGGTTCACATCTAAACAAGGCATGTTCTAAGAAAAGAGTTAAATCCAGCAGGTGAAATGTTCCAGATTTAAAGAAAAAAGGGTAGCAGATGAAAATGAAGATAAGAAAAAGTAAACAGCTCACCTCCTCAGCACTGAACCTGTCACACTGGGTGGTCAGGAGCTCCTGAAGGCTGGAAAAGAACAAAAATACATTGCTTAGACATGAGATTCTCTGAGATGTGATAAAAATAGGAGATGAAAGTTCTTACAATTCCTTCTTGATGGTGCCGGTGCCTTCGGGGTCCAAGACCTTGAAAGAGCTCAGGATGACGTCCTCAGGATCAGCACCTAACAGCAAACAAACCCAATTAGTCTCAATGGGAATTAATGTCTAGGACAAAGTAAGATGTGCCTAAATAGATTGTGTGTCAACACACCCTTCAGCTTCTCGCCGAACATGGTCAGGAAGACTGTGAAATTGATGGGGCCGCTGGCCTCCTTCACCATGGCATCCAGCTCGTCACTCTTCACATTCAGCTGTCCCATGGTGGCCAGCACATCCCTGAGGTCGTCCTTGCTGATGATGCCATCTCTGTTCTGGTCAATGATTGTGAAAGCCTGCCAGACAGAAAGGTCCGTGATGAGTCCAAAAGTTTAAAAAAGGGGAATAACAAAAGGATGTGTAAATGTCTAACTGTATATATGAAAGCATGTGTGGCTTTTAAAGGCCTTTATTTGGTGAAACAAATAAAGACATCAGGATAGAACTGTAAAACAAAGATTCTCACATTTCTCGCAAGTCTTTGTTCTAAGACTTGTTAATAGTGATTGTAAGTGGGAGCTAGTCTGTCAAAGCAAAAGTGTAAATGTGGAGCCGTTAGCTGCTTCCCTTGTCACATAGCTGGGCGTTTCACCCCCATGAAACCAAAGATGGCATTGGGAACCTTTTGGGACTTGGCAGCTGGTCGTCCACTTGTCTCTTGAAGGTGTTAAAAAGGTTCTGGAATGCGAGACAAGCCCCCTTGCGACATTTAAGGAGTAGGTATTGATTACAGCTGTCATCCTTTAGCCTTGTGACCGAATCTTCAGACCATGTCACCAATGTTCCTTCACCTTTGGAGGTGCCAGCTAAGCTTCTGTTGGCTTTACATTCCCCAATCCCAGAGATGTTTCAGAAGACATTTCTGTGAGAGATCAAAGCTGGGATTCGCAGATGCTAAAAAAAATTGACTCATGGGACAATGGAACCTTGCTAATCCCTGAATGTTGACTCAACTTGCGTGTTTTTGTGCTTTCTACTTAGAGACCCTCTTTCCTGGTTTGATTAAATGGACTTTCCACCAGCTGTTGGGCTGCATTCCAGTGGAGTCACAGAGCAAAGTGTCTCCAAGGAGAATTACTGAGCTAACACAGAGGAGGAGGAGGTGTCACCTGTCTCCTGGAAAGCTCAGATTTACCATCCTGTTCTGCTAAGAAGGAGACTGTTGCCCTCTCAAAGTCACCCAGATCTACATTATTTTAAGGCAATAATTAAAAGGTTTTATCCGACATAGATTTACACAGATTTCCAAACAACTGATTCCTAGATATGATGTATGTGTGTAATGCAAAACAACAAAGGAAAAAAAAAGATTACCTCCTTGTACTCCTGGATCTGGCTCTGCTCAAACATGGAGAACACGTTGGAGGACCCACCCTCACCCTGCTGCTGCCTCCTCTTTGCCTTCTTGGGTGCCTGAGGAATAGAGGGAAAAAGGGTAAGCCACACAAACAAAATTAAAATTATATGTATATATACTACAAAAAGGAAGCATCCTAGACAATACAAATTCAAAACCCTATGTATCTTTAATCCAAGATCTAAAACAGTCTAGAATTATCAATTTTTTTGTGTCCTACATGAATCACATGCAGGACATGCTTAGAGCAAAAAAGCAATGAAGCTTTTATCCAAATTAAGATAAAATATTGTTGCATAACTTTCAGATGAATTAGTTAAAAAAAAGGCAATGATCCAAAAAGAGGTCGCATCTCCAAAACTTCCTCATAATTAAGATTCACACGGGTTCAAATCTAAAATTTGGAAGCTTGATTTTGGAGAATCCATCAATCCCACTTCACTGGATGTTGCAGTCCAGATTTCAGTGGGACACTGATGCGCTCCTCTCATCAGCTCCTAGAGAAGATCCAACACATCCTGTAAACCGTAGCTCCTAGAAACATGACCGCACTCACCATCTCTAAAGTTTGTGGGGTTGTTGTTGGTCAAGAAGAGAAGCCTACGCCAAGCGATGGGACTGACATGTATGCATCGGCCCCATGGGGTCTTATATATTAGCTTGAGGGAGGCTAACTTTAGCCACACCATCAGGTTTGGCAGGAAAGCAGAGCGGAGGAAAGAGTAAGAGAAACAGGGGAGGAGTGAGGAGGCAGCCAGGCAGATCGGCTTACAGGGGCTCCAAAATAGGCCAGAGAAGTCTTGGAATGAGGTGAATTCAATGCCAACAGACAGAGATGACTTTGGTGACATCAGTGGACAAATAAGGCCAAATGGGATGCAAGGGGCAAGCTAAAGAGCAACCAATCCATCTCTGTGTTGCTAGAGGCTGTGTAAAAAGCATCATGAGTTTCATGATATAGGCAACAGTAGCTTTATTCAAATAACCGTCAATCAGCTGGGGTCAACAGAAGCTCTGCTTTCTATTAATTAATCCTCCCGTGCCGGTGGGTGTGCTGGTGTTCGGTGTGTGTGAAAATATTTTCAAGTCATCACCTGGATAACTGATAGGTCTGCACCTCACAGACACATCAGCGATTGCTGTTGGGGTGTATAAACAGCCGTGAAACCTGAAAACAGTCGGCGAGAGGACGCTGGTCAGGCTCCAGCGATGACACATGACAACCAGGCCTCAAATGAGAAACACACACAGGCCTTTACTACTGAAGCAGCTGCTGCTAACAGCTATGTAAATACAGGGAATGAGTGTTTAACTCCAGTGTTAGTGCAAGGGGATAAATAAGTTGGAACTAATGTAAATATCCCTATAGCTGTCAGAGTCCAATAACAAGGATCGTTTTGTACATTATTAAACATTTGATCAGAGGATGTTATCTTCATCCTATTTTTTTACCAATTGGTGTGACGGGAACCAGAGAATTAAGATAGATTAATGGTGAAGCTTCTTCATCAAGGATGCACTAATTTTGGTTTCTCCTGGAGGTTTTAAAAAAGAAGAACCATAAACCCCCCTAATGCCATATATAAACTCCACAGCCTCCCATCAATCAGGCCACTATACAACCAAGGCCTGTATGTGGACCTATAAGACAACCCCTTTACTCTCCTGCAGGTAAAACGTTTGCTCACATAATTTCTGTGATCCAGCTATCTTCATAAAGGCTGTCTTTGTTTAAATTCCTTGGTAAAAGGCAGTTTTTTCTCTTTGTCATTGCAGACATTATCTTGAAGGTGACGGGAGAGGCATAGAGGGAGAAGTCAAACACCATAAAAACGAGACAGCTGTACAGACTGAAATAGCTGCGCTCCCCCCCATCACCACCATTCTCTTCCGCAGCCATTTTAACCCTGTTCTAATATTTTAACTCTCTTCCTACTAAGCATGCTTTTTTAACCCAGTCATTGGGAATAAAAAATTACTAATTTCTAGGAAAATTTGGCATTGAGGAACTCATTTAACATTTGGAATTGGTTATTAGTTAAAACATTTCCTGAAATATTTGATAAAAGACTTGAAAACCTTTTTGAACATAGCTACTTTATGCTTTTGAATCTTTCCATTCTGGTGAAATGATCACACCACTGCTTTTTATTTCAAAAGCTATAATTGGTTGCATTAGATTCATTTGTTGTAGAATTTCCACACACAGACCACTTTATGAATGTATGCTGATATATATGCAAAGACTATCGGTGGTTTTGTTGACAAGTCCCTAAAATTTTCAGCTTGTTTGAGGTTCTGGGCTTCACTTTAAATAAAATCAGGTAGTTTGTTTTGAGCTGACTCTTTCCTTGTCTTTTAACTATAGTCTGGATCTTTTCTTTAAAAAAGAAATATATCTGATCCATTCTAAATGTTTTTTTTAGCTTCATGTCCCATTTCCAACTCTAGCTTTATATTAGCAGATTACCAACATGTTACAACACCCAGTTTTCAAAGATTTAACCATTTGACCCACAGTTGTCACATTGTCACAAGAACAAACTCTTTGCATTTAACCCATCCCCTTAGGGAGCAGTAGGCTGCCATTGTGTGATGCTAAAGGTCCTGCTCACTGAGCCAGAGTGGGAGTCCCAGTGTGTGGGACTTGAACTCTGATTCAAGCGCAATGCCCTAACCACTAGGCCATCATTCCCCCTCTAACAAGTGAGTCTGCAGAGGGAATCATGGCCATAACAATCCCTCCATCCAGGACTTTAACCTCAACCTGGGGCAGCTAACATTTCTGCAGACTCCATACATTCTGGATACAGAGTTTTTCAACTTTAATCTTAAGGTAAGTGCTACATGTTAGTTTAAAAGGACAGTGCAACTCCATTTTGTTTTATTCAACTGCTCTCACAAACATCTATAAACTCCATAGAACAGAGGCCTGCAGTCTCAATTTACAATGTGCACAAAGAATTCCTCTTCTCTCTACAATAACCCTAGTTTGGATAGGAACATTTCCTTTTCTTTGGTGGAAATAGCTTGAAAAAATAGAGCATCTGTATAAATGTGATGACTTTATGTCATTGAATGCGTTAAGAGAAACATTTAATTTACTAGAAAATTAAGATTTCTGGAAATACTTAGCAATACTGTCTTAGACTTAGACAAACTGTATTTTCATTTTCTACACACAATGTGTAAACCGAACAAAACTAACCTGTCACCTCAACTAAATCACTTTTAGTTCAAAGCAGGAACAGGAAGGCAGTTCTAGTTTTACTGGATAGTATGAATAAATCTAGTATTCTGCAGTAAGGAATCTTAATTAAATATGATAAAGATACTTTATAGAAAGTGTAAAGATGACCTTCGCAGGGGATTTGCAAACTGAAAAAAGCAAAAAGTATGGAGTAATGCAATTTTAAATATGTGCTACAAGCCATACATTGATATGATTTTACATAATCTAAGCTACTGAACAATGTGAGGCTATAGTGAGAATAGTTGGTTATAAAAATCAGGACTGGCTGAAATATTCCAGCAGTTGTGATTACTGGGAGACAAATCTCTCATACTCCGTCACTTGAAAAAAAAATGGTTTAAACTTATAGTGGTTCATGTCAATCATTAGAAAACCAGACTGCTGTCATTAAAACACACTGATTGTCCCATTAGTTATTTAGTTTATGCATAATTTGTTTTGCCTTTCTTCTGTTTATTAGTTTCTTACCATGCAACATGGCAGATCGATACATCCCTATTTTTGCACCAATCTGAACAATTTCTTCCTTCCTTTCCTATATTTTGCAAAAAATCCACTTATTTTCTCTTTTATGCATCTATACTTAAAACATGTCAAACAAGAGAAAAGAGGAACAGAATCAAAGTTCCAAATTTGTGCGCACAGACATAACAAAGCTGATCTGAGCCTGTTTATAATAACACTGTGTTATTCAAACTAATGCACCCAGTGTTTAGTTTTAAATCATTGAGGACTTGAATCAGTAGTACACTCTAAACATCATTCAAATACATATTTTTAAACTGTAAATTAATATGACATATTTATGTATATTGTGTGTAACCTTTGGAACAAATTCGTAAATGTAGCCGTTAATAATTGTAGATGTCCATACTGGAGTAAAACCATATTAAATTCACAAATAATTTCACTCTAATGACCAACAAGTAAAAAGATTAAAGATAGTTTATTGGTTTAATCTTTGACAGAAAAACATAAAAAAATTAACAATGTACTGGCATTAAGCATATATATTTAAGACTGCTTTTCCAATTCTTACAAAAAAAAGTTTTGAAATGTTGCAAACATGTTTTCATATTATAATTAAACACTGGGAACTTCATTTCTTCACCCAAAGTCTATTAAGCTTTCTTCTGCAGCTAATTCACCACCACCTCTTTTTCTGGACCAATCACATATGAGTTTCTTTACTTCTTTTCCAAAGTCTTCATGCATTTTATTGAAATCCTCCTCTGGATCTAAGGACAGACATAGAGAGTCAAATAAAGGCAGAGCAGGAGTGCTGCTGACAGACACCATGTTTGAGCTTTTCTTGGGCCAAAGTTTGGGCGATTTCTTAGAAACTGCTCTGGAAGCTGAAATGCTCGAGACTTGAAGCGCGTGGTTGGAGCTCAGCGAGGCTCCTGGTCCCAAAGACTGACCTGCAGATGAAGGCAGGATGGAAGCTTGTGTGCTAGGAAGGGTTGTGGGATAGTTTGGTCCAATTGAGTGGAAGTTTGGCATCGTGAAAGGTCGGCGGAGTTCACTGGAATGTGCATTTAATGCATCTAAGAAAGAAGCAAAGAAAGAGAACAATTAGATTGACAGAAGACCAGAGATGACTGAAATAAGCACAAAGCTGACTAATGCCAGCATATTAGGAAACTGTTTTAAGCTACTGTAACAACACTGGCTAAGGTGGAGTATTTCTAAGATTTAGTAAGAAATTATTGAAAAACAGCTCTTTTTAAACAGATACATTTATTCAAAATCTCTATGACTTTTAACTGAATTTAACAAAACTGTAAAAACCTTTAATTTTTTTCTGTCCTGGTCCTCAGGGCCCATGAAGGATATTTGCACAAACCAAGATCAGTATACAAACACAGCCAGACTGACAAGTAATGTAAATCTAATACACAGCTTTCCATATCTGAATAGGTGGCAAATCAGTCTGACTGTATTTTAATAATAAATTTTCTTTATATCAAATGAATAAATATGGAAAAACAGTCTATGAGTTAAAGGACTAATAAAAAAACTAAAAGTGGGTGCAAAAGTTTCATTTTTAATCCATTCCTTTCCACAGATTCAAACATCTAGTAATACTTTGGTTCAACTAATTGCCTCAAACTGCACATTTTCTGTAGCTGTGCAAAAACACCTCTGGTATTTAACTCATAACTAACTAAAGTTAGAATCCAGTGTTAAAATATCAGCCTGAAGTGTTACCATCTATCCTATATTATGTAACTTGCTTCAAAAGATATATCTGTAGATGTATGCAAATGGTTGAGCTTTTATTAAGATAAATTTGAAATTATTTAAAATCTCTGCATTTATTTCTTGTTTGTTGGATAATATTTCCTATAACAGTATCCATGTGTATGATGACCCATGTAAACATAATACTTCAAATGCCCATAAAAGCAACCTGTTGCCAGAGGGAGGGATAAACGGAACCTTGC